ATTTAAAAAAAATAATATTAATTACATACATAGATAGAAAAAAAAGTTTGTTGCTGCGCGCGGGTCGACAATATCGACACATATTCGGCTAGTCGTATTTTTGGAGCGGCGATACGGGAAAGGTTATTTAAGTCAACATTACATTAAATTAGAGGCAATTCATTAATAAACTGAAAAATTAAACATAATAGATAAAATAATTGCAAAATTATAATAAAATCAATTGATTAAAAAATTAAAAATTAAAAATTAAAAAATTTTAAATTAAAAATTTTCAAGTTTCTGATTTTTTCCTTTGTATTTAATTAACTACCTATCTGTATGCCAAATTTGAACTTTCTAGGTCATCTGGAACTGGGTTAGAATTTTGATCTATAGGTAAGTCAGTGATAAAAATGACGATTTTCGGACGTTAATATCTAAATAACGGTTTGAAGTGTGTTCATGAAATTTAGAGCACATATGTATCTCGTTAGTCTCAATATATGAGCCAAATTTGACATGTTTATGTGGAATAGTTTTTGAGTTATGAGGGGGTCAAAAGTGGCTCCAAATGGTTCGTGTAATATTACACACGGTGCTGCTCGCCAGTTCTGTTAGCTAGAACTTGGCTTGACACGCTACCGCGTGTCTAGATCTAGATATTAATATACAAAGGTCTATAATTTGTTCATGTTGTAGTATCGGCGGATTTAATAATTTCGTTATTATTCTTACCTACGACTTCAAGGATATATCTTCTCTCCATCATAACGTGATCGCTTTCGGTTGTAGTTTATTTTGGAGATACTATATAAATCGACGCGAAATTCCAAAAAGAAAAATTGTTAAATGTAGTGCACAGTGTTTTTCTTAGCTAAACTAAGTAATTAAATTTGTTTATTACTCATGTACCGACCAGGCTAGGTAGTATCCGTGGTCTTCTCATTTGAATGTTTATTTATTTTCAGCCAACAACAAAATATATTATGACAATCAGTTACGCACCTACTTTTTAGTATTTTTATTATTATATTATTTTACCTCCACTCAATTTTATTATCTGTGATTCACCTTATTACATTTGACTGAATTTTTATGCATTTGCGTTATATTATTATACTTTAATATGTTATTACGTTAGTATAGGTATAATTATATTATAATGTTTTATCATTTGCGTTGTACAATAATTAGGATATAATAAGCATAAATTATGTTTAAATATTTTTAATACCTCGAAAATTTGAGTGAATGTGTCACTCATCGTCAACACTACTTGTAATCTTCACAACATAATATAATATGTATATCGAAATTGTAATTAAGTATTTAAAAAATAAACATTAATTAATAATACATATTTTATTTATTAATTTGATCTTTAAAAATCCTATCATTATTGTGTATAGGTAGTGATTTTATTTGTTGAAATTATGAATATTCTTTTGTTATTAGGTCTCTATATATTATGTTTTATACCTCATACGATAGGTATTTTAACTTGAAAGGTGAAACGATTTATTAATTTGAATGCATATTTCAATATTTGTCAATTTTAACTCATCCGACGTCTAATTCCTAATGATTACCTACGAATCACGATCGAAACAACCCACATTCATTATGGTGTATATAAGTGGTGCTCCACTTAAACCCACTTAAACCCCTCGAAAACAAAATATCCACGATGCGCCACTGATTGTGTTATATAGGTATTTAAAAAATTAAAAGTTTAGCACTAATATCGTGTATCAGACCTAGTATTATAGGTAGGTAGGTAGGTACATTGGTATATTACGGTATTAAAATGGTTGATTCTCTGGACGACTTGCAGAGCAGTTTTACTCTATAGTCTATAGTCTATACAATAGGAATTTAACTTAAATATATTGAGAATTGACATAATATTATTATTGTGTACCTAGCCACCTAGGTACTAACCAAATCTAACCTATTAATTGTATTAAAAAATAAATAAACGTATATTATTATATATTTAAAATATTATTATAAACTTCTGTTAAAAGCAATTATTACAGTTTAAAAATGTATAGTGTTTTCATCAATTAGTCGGAAAATAATATTAATAATTACAAAATAATTTAAGTTCAACATCTTCAACTATGAACCAATAGAAAGATGTTTTGTGTTAGCAATAATGACAATTTAATCTGAAATTACAAGTACTTACGTAAAGCAGATTTTGAAGAAATTATCACTTTTCAAATCTCCAATCTAGGAGAAAGTTATAAAGTTATAAAATATGTATCTAGACTGTTTTTATTAGGTTATTAAATTAACATCAGAACAAATGCAATAGATAATAATAAATAAATAAAAAATATATTATATTCATTTTCTATTTTATTTTTTAGTTTATAGGTATAGTATACGCCTATTATTATCGTAACTACTAAATTATTTCAAGAATTCAATATACTTATGTACAGTAAATACATTTTACTGTACCTGAGTAAAAACATTATTTAACTCTTATTACCCACAAAGAAATTTACATTGACTTTCCTAACGATTTACCTAAGAGTTAACTAATGGATGAAATTATAAAATATTAGGACAAATACAGATTAGTTTCTAAGCGATTTTTTTTTTCAAAATTTGAGTTTTTACATCCTCAACATAGGTATTGGTCGATTTGGAAATTACATATCATACTTACTTTTTATTTTATTGTTGGGTAATTTAATTTAAAGTAATTTAATTTGAAAGAAACCCATGGGAATACGGAAACTCATGGATTTCGAAAAGCTAAAAATTTTAAACTAATAAGTCCGGCTGAAAATTTCGATTGCACCATTGTTCTTAACTCATTGAAAAAGGAACATAGATTTCCCGAAACATTTTTTAAAAATCGCTTTGCAGCTAAACTGAATTTATGCCACAAAAAAGTAGTTATACCTTAGGTACATTTAAAGATATAACTTTAATTTATTACAACTACAATACTCACATACCTTTGAGATGGCCAGCTTTCGTAACCATAAAAGATTTTGCAGTCCCTCCCGTAGGGTGGCGTAGGCGTGATATTGCAAAATGTACAATAATTATATTTAATAAATTGAGCTAAAATTACAAGAACTGATTTGGAATTTCAAACAAATTTAAACTAAATTAATAATTATGTATTTTGCTATTTTTATTATTATTTTTGTTAATTTAAAATTCCCAGTAGGTAGTTTTCAAAAGCCCTTTTAACTTTTATGCAAAATTTGTTTTCGACATAATTGATTTTAGTTTTTGGTTTACCTAACTCTAAAAGAAATTTCCGTAAATAAATGCGATTTTCACTGAATATTTTCTATACATCATATACAATTATTAGCATAAAATATTTCGACTCATGTTGAGCTATTTATAGGTATATGAAATTATGGATTATTATTATTTTTTTTTTTTAATTAATGTCAAAACAAAGGTTTAATCTGTCAAAAAATTTAATACAAAGTTCCTTGTAAGTTGTTAATGGAAATCAAAAAAAAATTGAGCATGAATCCACAGTACGTTTTTTAAGCATCTGAAGTCATTTTGTTTACAAAATTCATTAAAAACACGAAAATTGGCATATTATTTCGATTTAAAAATTCATAAAAGTTTTTCTTTTTATATCTATAAAATTCAAAAATTTTAATACAAAAATCCTCAAAAGTCGTACTACTTTTAACAAGAAAAAAAGTCAACCAGAAAGTCATATTAACTGTAATGAGCGTTTGAAGTTCAAATGTTTACAAAATTGGAAATTCACTGGATTTCTCATGGAGCGATTTTCTTATTTTGTTTTAATTCAAATTTTAAACACAATTAACCAAAGATACTTATGATACATTGACGCGGACTTAATATATTGTGCCGCGTGGATGGTGATGTGGTGGTGGTGACCGACGGAGAACGTCAAACGGAATAATAAAAGAAATGACAAACAACGAACGGCGCACTGCTGTATTATTGGTTTTTATTTCTACAAGTGACAAGAGTCAAAACAAAAAGAACATTCAATTTAATGACACAATTTCTAAGGTATCGAGTTCACACGGGAACGAGTGTCGACTTTCGGAGGACTATCCGGGTCGGCTGCAACTTGTTAGCGCACATTTTATAATTTTTACCTGAAAAATCGGAACTCATTTGCGCACACGGTTATCCTAAATGTACAACTGGTTTGCGCACACGAAAATAAGGCTATATGACATAAGCGCCAAAGGTGCAAAAATGCAAGACTGGGCATTAACAAGTTAAAAAGTTAAAGTTAAGTTAATAAGTTAATTTTATATTAACTTTTTAACTTAACTAGTTACTTTTGGCTTTTCATTAACTTAACTGTTAACTGTTAAAAATGACATATCATTTGCGCCAAAATAAATATTTTATATATGTAGTTTTTCTAAATTGATATATCTTATAAAAATTATATTATATATCATATATGTTTACTATATTATTCTAATATTATTTTATATAAATAGTTATTTGAAAATTGCTGTCTTAAAAGAATATTTGTATATAGAATATTAGAATATAGAATAGTTTTTTATATTTTTGCTCTTTAAACAAAATACACACAACACCTTTATTCATAACAGTTTTTGTAAAATCCATTTTAACGAATGCTTACGAAATAGGTACTATAACAATATGTTACAACACAAAACTGCTCACACACGACTGTCTATGTGACAATCTATCGTAATCAGATTATACATTTGCCGATTAAGATTAAACGTTTGGTGTATGAACTTGGAGTATGAGTTTATGTACGATACGATTTATTACTTATTAAGAGGGTATTAAAAGGTCAGGCCAAAAGGTAACTGTGCGCAAACCATGTGCATGTTTACGGCTCAACTGTTCCCAAACGAGTGGTAGTTTTGTGCCCAAAAAAGTTGTCTTTTTGGTATTTGTGCGCAAACCAGTACCGCCCATCCGGGTCGGTGTCGTGAATCGTGATGATGAGTCGATGAGAGGCCGCTAGGGATGCGCAAATGATATCGATAATTATCGATATGTCGATATTGAGGTAAAAAATATCGATATTTTCATGTCGATTTTTATCATTCGATATTTTTATAATGTCGATTTATTATAATATTACTGAAAATAATAAACTTGTGTCTGTTACGAATGTAACGACCGTGGCGTTGAAGCAATAACGTTCATGACAAAATGAACAATATGCCTATACAGTATTACCGTTGTACTGAAGTAACTGAACATTTGAACTGTGTTTGTACTTTGTAAACTTTGAATAAATTAAAACCGTCGTCATTGTTTATATAATTTCGTAACAAAGAGGGATACACGTTGCCAACATTCTATATTTCAATCAGATTATTCAGATTACGGATATGGTACAATTTAGGACTTTGGAGTCCAATGCTTTTAAGACCGTTGTTTTGTGGTAGTGTTCTCTTGGGATAAATTGGTGTCCCCCCCCCCATCCACTCCGATAATGAGTCGCAACTAAAAATACACGCGCGCTCTCACAAGTCACAACGCAAGTACGGAACGATGACCAATAATAATTTACGGTGATGAACGCCGAAAATCCCCATTTTTATTCATATATCATTATTATTCGTTTATGCACGGGCACTGAGTACTGATAGAACTACAGAAGTCGGAAAGTGCAGTGTATTTAAAATACTCGATTTCGGTTAATCATAATTTATTATTCATTTTAATATTTTATACCTATTGATGTATTGTTATTTTTTTTATTTTATTATTTCAATTTTCAATAATAACAATATTACGCACGCCGTTAATAAGGTTAGGTACAAAATACTACAAACGTTGGCACTATCGTCACACGGGCACCGATTTTTGTTTCGTTGTCGTCATTCGTGGTCGCGTGGTCACTGCCGTCACTTCACTTTTGACTTATCAGTTACTCAGTTCGCGGTTTAACGTTTGTCTGTTTGTCACTCGTCAACGTTTTTGTCGATTGCCGTATTATACTCGCGTCTCGCACCGCCATCAGCCAAAATCCAAATCCGCCATCGACGTCACGCTAACTAGAACCGCTGCTCCTACGCCCTACTTCGACACGGCTGCCATACCACTACTGCCCGGAACGCGACCATAGGTGAGAGTTTTGAAAAAATTCGTATAAATCATAAACATTTGCAAATTATATTAAATTTGCGGGTAGGCAAACGTGTCGTATGCTATATACCGGCATATGTAATGGACAAAAATGACTGCTTGTGTCGTGCCAATGCAGTCGACGTAGAAAAATATATTCTATACAAATGTGACTTCATTTATCCGAGTTGTCCCTACCAATATCGATTAGGCATTTTGTATATTAGCCCATATTTCAATACCATACCTTTGTCTAGAACTCGCACATTGATTTGAATTCAACTGCAGCAAGTAAGAAAATAGGTAGGTATATACCTACCTATTCTATAAACTTATTTTAATTCAATAATATTTTAATAAATCTGACAAATAATTTAATAATTTCTTAACGTCAGTATTTTGTTGGTTTTTACCCTGCCTAAAACTAAAGCACTTAAATTTAATATTAAGTTTTAACACAATGATGAATGATGATAATTAAAATTAATCACAATTTTTAAAATATATTTAAAGGTGTTTGGCACGTCAGTAAAATAAATGGATACCATTCAGGCTTCATCTTGTGAAAATAATCTAAAGCAAGTTCTGAAATCAAATGACTGTGAACCAACTATTTTTAGAAATGACTCACACTCTGTAAGAATACTAGAAGATTTACAATCTCTACGCAAGTATGTTTCCAGTGATTTTACCTTCATTCAAAATAAATACCCGTATCAAATTTTTGTTTTTAGAAGTGAAGTTTTTTGTGATATTAGATTTGAAGCAGATGATGGTAAAATTGTAATTGGACATAAAATTGTTTTAATAGCAGCTAGTCCATATTTCCGTGCAATGTTTAGTAATTTTGATGAGAGCAATAAAGATCTTGTTTCTATAAGAGAATTAGATTCCACCATTTTACAAGTATTAATAGATTATATTTATACTGGAGAAATCATGGTCACAAAAGAAAATGTACAGGTACCTACCTATAATTAAATATTTGATTTGATATATATAGAATTCAAACACCATATAATTTTAAATTAATTTTTGTTGATTTCTAAGGTGTTGTTAGCAGCTGCAAATGTATTGCAGTTAGATTATTTAAATGGTGTATGTGCTGAGTTTTTACAAAAACAACTGAATCCATCAAATTGTCTTGGTATCAGAGAGTTTGCTGACCTACATAACTGTCCTGATTTGTTGTCAATTTCTGAAGCATATATTAAACAAAATTTTTTGTAAGATTTACATTATTTGATTCTCTATTTCATGAGTAAGTAGGTAATTTATTATAAAATAATGATTATTATTTCCAGAGAAGTAGCTAAAGGCGAAGATTTTCTATCCTTATCTTCTGAAGATGTGGTGAAGCTTATTTCCTCTAATGACCTTGCTGTTCCATTTGAAGAAAAAGTGAGCACCCTACAAATTGTAATTTTTAATATTTCGTATGGAAAATCAACTTATAAAGGTGGACTAGTGTACAGTACAGTTGATGTCTAGACTCTACAGGGAACACTGTACTAGATGTGTTATATTTGAAATCAATGATATAAAATCATTGTAAACGAAAAGGATTCTGAGCGATAACGATTTAATAATATGACCGAATATATTTTATGGTATCGTTAATAAAATAATTTATTTTACTATTAGACATTAGTAATACTGTATATCTGGAGCAGTTTTAATTATATTTCCAAAAAAGTTGCATAATATGAAAAGATCATTGTGTGCATATAATATAACAATATATCTACTTAAAATTTTTAAGTTCCAACAAATAATATTTTTAAATTAAATAACTAAAGTTAATAAAGCTTGATTACCATGGAAAATAATTTTATTGACTGTTATTGAAAATAAACAAAAAAATTTATTATTTTAAATGTCTATAAATATTAAACAGGTCTAAAATAATCAAACCATTTTTAAAATGTTATCATGTATAAAATTATATAAATGAAATATTAAGTAACTATCTGTTGAAACTATGTAAAATTATACAAATTATCAATTATAAAATGAAATAATTTGTTCAAATAAATTGTATCTACTTGATGATATGGAGTTTCGCTGTCAACTCCGACTGGAATTAATTGGCTATAAAATTCACCTCCGCAGACCACATTGATGAGTCAATAGGCTCAAAAAATGCAAACGCAGCACATTCAACTGCATGTCTATATTGTGATTTATGTGTATTTAAAAACAACAAATAATATATTTTATTTAATACCATAAAAATATTAATTAATATTCCTTTGCTTGCTATGAAAAGTAGGAACCCATGATCTTAAAGATCTAATTTATTTTTGGGATCCTGTGATAATTATACTCTATTGAATGGTTGAAAGAAATGTTATTATATTTTAATCTAGTTTAAAATATTTCTTATTGTAGGTATTTGAATGTGTTATCAAATGGGTAAAGCATGATTTTGATCGTAGAAATGATTTTTTACCGAAATTAATGGAACATGTACGTTTGCCATTATTAAAGCCTGATATATTATTTAATATATCTAAAGAACCTCTTCTAAGCAATAGTTCTAAATGTATGTTATTTACATAAGTATGGTATCATTATAAATTAGTATATTTTATGAATTATTGTTATAATTTTTTTAGGTTACAATTATATAGTCGAAGCATTTTGTTTTAATCATCAAAAGTCAGTTCAGCATTTCACCATTCCACAAACAATTAGGTGCAAACCTAGACAGTTTGGTGGTTCTCAAAAAGTATGGTTTTATTTTGATTAATTTATCTTCACAATAACATTGTCATTTTAATTATATCAGGTTTTTGTAATATTCAATCAGTCTGATACATCACCAAAGTGTTATACTGAATGGTATGACCCAGCAACCAAACTACGTGAGAAAGCACCAGGAATAAATGAAGGTCGGATGGATGCTGGTTTTGGTGTGATAAATGATCAATTTGTGTTTGCTGTGGGAGGTGTAAATGGATCGAGTTCTAAATCTGTTAGTATGCTTGACGTATCTCTAAAATCTCCATCTTGGGTTCCAATGGCCGACATGGTAGTGGGTCGAGAACGATTAGGAGTTGGCGTATTGGATGATTGTATCTATGCAGTAAGTTAAACCAATATTTTACTTATTTTATACTAAGAATGTATATTATTTGTAATTCTAGGTTGGTGGAGGAGATCACAACAATTCATTAAATAGTGTTGAGGTTTTTGATGTCAGTATTCAAAAATGGAGATTGGTAGCTAGTATGTCCACTGAAAGATGGGATTTGGGTGTTGGTGTACTCAATAATTTATTATACGCGGTGAATGAATATACTATTTATTTATTTTTAATTTGTAATACATTTCATTGAATTAAATTATGTAGATTGGAGGTGCTGGTAATGGTCATAGTTTGAGATCTGTGGAATATTATGATCCCACACTTGACACATGGACACCAGTTGCAGATATGTCTGCATGTCGTCAAGGTGTTGGTGTAGGAGTCTTGGATAATCTTATATACGCTGTTGGTGGCTTTGAGAGTAAGGATCTTAAAAGTGTTGAGGTTTATAGACCGAGTGATGGAGTTTGGTCGTCTGTAGCTGATATGGAAATATGCCGATATCGTCCTGGTAACTTTAACAATTATATTTTTTAGGACAACCTTTATAATAATATAATTTAAACTATTTATTTTTATATAGGAGTTGCCTCATTAAATGGTTTATTATATGTGATGGGTGGAGAATCTGATGAATCTATCAATGATACTGTAGAAATTTACAACCCCAACACCAATACTTGGACCTTGGAGAGATTGTCAAGAAATGAAGTAAAAATTTATGGTGGAGTAGTTGTTGATAGACCACATCATTATCATTAATCAGCTTTAAGAATTACTCATTGTTAATAAAAATATGAAAATATTTTTGTAAACATTTTGATAAACGTGTATTGTTTTATATTTTTTTGTTGTTTTGAATATTTGATAAGAATGTTTTTTATAATTTATACTGTCTATTTTCAAATAAAAAAAATAAGCTTTAAAGTTAATTTTAATGCAGTATATCAGTAAAAACTATAATTATATCTTAAATTTACTATTCAAATTATATATTTTAGATTCTGTGTGGAAAGATAACATTTTATGATTTTTCAATGATTTCTTTCTTTTTGGGCTGGTGTACAGTCACTACAGTGTACACGTTGAAAAGGTACTTGACATTTTTACCAAATGTTTATTTTATCATTTTATATGTATACATTTTAAAATATTTCAACTTGTATTGGGCTATATATTGATGTATTGAATTTTTTTTAGTTAATTTTGTGTAAACATTGTTAAAAATGTTACTGTTGAGTCAAAAATATAAATATTTAATACTAGATTTATACGTTGTTATGTCAGCCGTTTAAAATTATTTAAAATGCATATTCACAATTTTTTTAAAAGCTTTCAATTATTGTGCTGTTAAAAATGTATAAAATGTTCAATTTTTATAGCTAAGGATTGAAAAATTTAAAACAAGATTTCCCGTAAGTAGTTCATATTGCAACCAAAAAATATAAAAACCCGTTTTTTTTGTGATAGATATTTTAAGTAAAAATTTGTGACAAATATGACATTTAAATGAAGAAAAACTATTTTATTTATTTTGTTGTAATTTAAAAATATTATTCATGAATGGGGACTTGAAATTTTAAAATATATTATTATATTAATAACTATTATCCATAAGAAATATACTTCATTTATTACCCATATTGAAATTTTCAAATGCATTTTTTTGTATTTAGGTTAAAACCGTCTGCTGAGAAACTTATTTTAATTACAATCACTTTTTATCATTGAATTTAAATTTAACACAGCAACCCGTCTAGACATATTATACTGTACAGCGGTTTGGTACCCACTTAGGGCCCGTATTACAATAGTTGAACTCCGGTTAAACCACCGAATTCGGCCGGTAAAATCAGTGGTTCATGCGTAAACGAGGTTTAAACTATGATTGTAAAACGGGCCCTTACCCATTTTTATTTTAAATGTAATTAAATTGTATACATATAGGAAATTGAAATAATTAAAACTAGAAGATTTGAAAAATTAAATTACTATTTTACTAATCAAGTTTTTAAGCTATTTTTTACTTTGTATATTTTACAGACGTTACTGAGGTACACGTAGCATTCTTTATTTTTATTGTTTAGTACTAAAATTCAATCAATATAATCTTTGAAAGATTATTAATAGGTACTTGGTGTATTATACATTGTTTTATGCAAATTATAGAAATTAATTCAACTCACTGGCTACTATAGACCGTATTGTAGGTATAATGGTACAACATGTTTAGATTTTAGGTGTAACATAATATATCATTGGCCGACACACCGTCTCTGCTCAGAATCCTTTTTTTGTGTACAATGATATTATATCACTGAATTCAAATTCAACACCATCCGTTACAGGTGGCTTCTCTAGACACCTAATGTTTATCATTGATGAGCATTACCCATTTGCCCGATTACCTATATAATATGTAGGTACCTACTGTTTTGATGGCATACCACAAACGTAAATTAATTTAGGAAAAATATCCCACCATTGCATATTTTATGTTCTACCCAATTTGATATAATTATTACATAATAAAATGACTTACAATGACAAATAAATTAAATTAAAATATATAATAGTAAGCATAGTGAATAGTGATCTAGATTCTAGACTGTAGTATATTTATTTATAATACTGTTGTGACTTGTGAGCAATGGTCTTACGGATTTATATTGTATTATATTATATTAAGGACAATAATGCGGGTTTCACTTGTAAATTATTCTAAGCAGCTATTAAAAATAAACAAGTAACTATGAATCAATAGTAGATTCATAGTAGGTACTGTCAGCGCACGTACTACGAATCACAATACTTATTTGGCTTTTAGAATTTGGCAAACATAATAAATTAGCATTCGAAATTGGCAAAGCCAAGTGGGTTACATTGTCATGAAAACAACAATTTCTCAAGAGCCGATGTCACGTACATATTATCCTATAAGGGATAAGGGATACTAGGGCGGACGGTATTGAAAATAATTTTTGGTATTACCTACGGTATTGATTTGTATACCGAAAATGAAATGATTCAGTATACAGCTAAATACCGATATGGTACGGTATACCGAAATAATAAATAAAATCTAACTATATTTTTTACTTTAATATTGTTTCACATAATATTCTTTATTATACACTAATCTTCCAAGTCTGGAGAAGAATAAAATATGACTAATATGAGTGCAGTAATCTATAGTGATAAAGCCTGTTTATTATTATAGTTGTGGTTGATACGGTTTACAGGGTAAACCGTTTAGACGGTTTTTACGGTATACCATTTACCAAAATAATTTTAAAATACCGGTATACACGGAATACCGAAAATACCGTCAGCCCTACCATATCCACACCAAGGCGAGTTGTCATGGCGCTAATAGAGGGGCCAGGAACACAGGATGTTCAGATGTACCAGAGCGCCTCACGCAGTCACGCCACACTCGGCAAGCACATTTATAAGTAAACTAAATTTCAAAAATAAAATTGTTTGATTGGTAAATCATCGTGTGAAGCGAGGAACTTTTACACGAATAAGATATTAGGCTATTACGATTGGCTATTCTAAATTTCTTAATATCTCTTAGAGTACCTAATAATTTTAGATTCTGAGTGAAACGATGAATGTATTGATTTTACAATGATGTGTGTTTTTATATTTTTTTTTTTGTGTCTGTGTACACGATAAGTAGTCGAAATAATGCTTCGATTTTCGACTTCAGTATCTTGTTCGATTGGAAAGTGAATATCGTTGGTGCATTGGGGAGGTCAAAATTTAAAATTCCCAGTACTTTTAAAAAGCGCCAAGAAAAACAAAAGAAACAATGAAGGAAAAACGGGAATTTTTACGCAAAATCGATTTTTCAGAAAATTGAATTTGGTTTTTGGTGTAACTTTAAAACAAATGACCGTAGATACATGAAATTTTAACTGGTTGTTTATATTTGCATTTTCTATACACGATAACATTTTCAAAATATTTTGATTTATTTTGAACTGTTTAAGGACATTTTCATTTTTTAGTTTTTTTTCTAGAAATATCAATAAAATTTTATTTGTTGGTTAAAAAACCTTTAAAAGCATTTAAAGTTCAAAAATTGACAAAATATGGAAAAATCACGAAAATTAACAAATTATTTTGAGTTAAGAATTCGTAAAAATTTTTCTCATTATTATAATAATCGTCATAGTTTTTAAAACAGCCTGTATATTATATGATATTCTACTGATTTCACCACGTGAATATTGTAACATTATCCGCAATTAGTATCTTATATTTGTGTCCGCACAATTCGTATGTTACCTTTTTAGATTTCGTCTGCAACTCACATGGTTTTTGTCACTTTGTCTGCAATTCGGAAACACCGCTCGGTGAAAATGTCTTTCGCAAAAATTTCGTCACATCCCGTAATTGGGTTTATAGGATTTTTCGATTGTATTGGTAAGTGACGTTTTATTGACGTATTATTATCGTACATTTTGTATAATAGTCTAATGCCGGGCCGCATCGATAAATTTAGTTTAACTATAATACTAATTATTAAGTATTTTTAATTGTTGCATTAATCGCATTAAATGTTCAATAGTTTTTTCATTGAGCGAAAAAAAAATATTATTTATCAACGGTAAAAATTCTCAAGGTTGTAATAATATAGCTACAAAAGAGTCAATATATTTTGAGTATATATTTTCATCATGTATAAAAAATTCTAATATATAAATATATTTGGTGAAAATTTCAAGTGCCTACGGTGATGAGTTTTTGAGTTAATGAATAAAATCGATTATTCTGAAAATTCTCATTTTTCCTTCATATTTTTGGAACAAAGTCATTTTAGCTTCCCAGCATTTTTTTGAAACATACGTATTCCAACATGACAAGAACGGTGGTCCAAACAAAATGTTACGGAAATCATTATTTTGAAAGTTATTTCGTTCCAAAGGTTGCAATCCTACGTTTATATACGCACGAGTACAACACTGTACTTTAGATGAAAACTATATAAAGTCAAAATTTGACGTTCAGGCTTAGTTTTAAATAGTTATAGCTAATTGAAATTTATAGTATTTTCATATACTGCGACCGGCGTGGTAGCTTTCTCGGACAATAAAAATCGAAAACATCCCTCAACTTGTTCTGTAAGTAACTATTGTTAAACCAGGCCCTATTTTTTAGAGAACCCCGACACAAAGTGTGTAGTCCGAAATTAGAAGTGTGCACTTCGGATTTAATAAGTGTGTACTAATGAATAAGACTATACAAATAAATAGATTATAATTGGTAGGTAATAATGTACAATATAGTATATTATCTACATAGTACATATTATGTAGTATACTAATATTACACTAAGTATACATAAAATTAAAAAATAATTTTTAAAAATGAAAATCTTTATGATAGGTGGGTACCAAAAATAAATTGTTTTCAGTTCCATTTTAACAAATTGATATTTACTTCTCTACATTGAATCGCTAATGAACTATTATGAAGGTTGGATACCTTTAGTTATTTCTGTGTTATGATTTTGACTCTTTTAAATTTATTAAAAGTTATGCCCCATATTTTACTGAATAATATATCAATTTAAATTTAAATTCTTGGTCCTCTTTGTCACTGTGTCAAAATATCATTGTAAATAAAGTGTGTAGTACGAATTTTTTTTAAAAATAGGGGATGTGTTAAACCTACGCATTGGGCGGGTCTCGAACTTCAAATAGTCAAAATTTCAAAACTAAATTTGAATGCCGAAAAAATTGAAAAAAAAA